CTTGAGAGGTAAAGAAAGAAAGGAAGTTACTGCTAGTATAATCTGGCTTGTTTGATCTGGATTACATGAGAAGAAGTAGTGAGGTACTCTACCACTGACTTAGTTTGCGCTGCGACATTGATGTTTTATCTCTACAAATAATACAAGCCTGAAGGAGTTTAGCTTTGTGGTGGAGTTGCTAATGCTAATGGTTAGCTTCTACTAGCAGCAGCAATCCCTGCTGCTTCCTGGACACTAAACCAACAACAGCCATCGTTAGCTAAGATGGGTGAGTCCATAAATGTTAAGTCATGTAGATCTGTCAGGCTTTTCGCATCCTAGCATTTCACCATCTATTTACTCTATTTACTGACGTAAATTTAGGAGACTACTGTCATGTTCAGCCTGCATGAAAAACTCAGAGATAATGATTATACTCTGAAATAATCATTAAACATGTTTTTTTAGAGTTTCACACCTTTAATTCATCTGTAAGGGTTCCTAAATCAACCTGTCATATCTGAAGGTTTTTTTTATTTATTTGAGCCATTTTGAATTACAAATAGTTAATTATGCTACCAACATGTTGACCTAATTGGGTCTGAATAGTGCAAAAAAAAAACCTGTTAGATATTCACTATAGATTAGATCTTCATTTCATGAACAACAGGGTTTCGGCACCAACCAGCTGCTTCTGCACATTTCGCAAATACGACCCCCCCCAACACTCTGCTGCACCAGCTAAATGTCAAACCTAATATAATAAATAGTGCTTACTGGCTTTGTGCAGCTTTCTGCTCCACTCCACTGCTGAAGTATTGCGAAACAACGGTTGGTTGCTGATGAATAAATGGTGACATGTTCTTTATTTGGTAGGTTTGGTTCCTGTAACTTAAAGCAGTTCTGCCATTCCACACAAACGGTTAAATTATGTCATTAGGCTATATGATGTACATCTTAATACCAAAATACACGTGAGCTTCGTTTATTGTTTGACTCAAGGCAAAATGTGATATGCCTGATGCAAAATGAAAACACCATTCCAGACCAAACCAAATGTGGTCTGAGACAGAAAGGGCTGTTTTTCCTTAAACACCAGATAAGTGTTGACGGCATGACCGAACCACTGACGTTTTACCAGACAAGCTTCCACTTGAAGCACACACACCCTGGGAAATGGGTTTAATATCAACAGAGATGACACGGTGAGGCCTAAAAAATCAAGCGTAACATTGACCGCTCAGTAGCCAGACAACTGTGAAACAGCACACTAGAAAAACAACAAGGGGGGTGGAAAAGTAGAATGATTGAAGAGGAAAGGTGGGAGGAAATGAGGAAGGGAGTAAAAAAAAAAAGGTTGAGTGAGAGGAAAAAATTTGAGGAGGGGGGAGTTGAAGTAAGAGAATGAGTAAAGGAGAAATGAAAAGGATAGGAGAGGAGGAGGAATACAGTATGAGGGGAAAAAAGTTCAGTAAGGGTGACAAACAGCAGGACGAGGATGGAAACAGAAGGGCTGTGGGAGTTGCTGCACATCTCAGACCTTTCTTACATCTATCAGGTTAAAACAATACTTACAAATATAGCAGGAAAAACACATAATTCACTAATAGGAAACAATGTCCTGACAAGAGGCAACTGTAGTGAATGCCACCATAAACACCACAGGTCATGTCCCCCAGGTTCATGACACGGGGGACATGACCTGACATTATAAAAGCACAAAGCATTGGTCAGTGGTAACAAAGTGCATGATCGAGGCCAAAAACGCAGTTTCTATTTATCCAGACACAGTAGGTTTGTGTAAGCAGTCTCTAGAAGAGTAAAAACTAATTATAAAACTAAATTATATCACACTTATTAGAAGGTTATTAGACAATGATAAGGGTAAGATAGACAGACAGACAGACGCCTCTATTGCCATTTTAATTTTTAGGCTCTCTCAGCTTTCCTCTCGCCATTGTTTCTATACTTCCACCTCTCTATGTTCTATGGGCTCCCTTAATGTACCATTTCTGTCTTTTTGTCTTCATTATTTTTCTTTTCTTCAGCCAACAGATTGAAATCACATTCTGCTGAACTCTTAGTACTCCCATGCTTCCTCTTTTTCCTGGCCCTTGGACCCCACTCCTCCTCTCACTACCAACTCTCCTTTCCCTTGTCACCACTCTTTTTTCCTTTCCTCCGTCTCTCTCTCCATTTTGCACTCACTTGTACTCTTTCATCACTCTCATTCACACCATCCCTAGCGTCCACAGAGCAGAATCATTTCTTTCTTTCAGGAGTGATTTACCGGCCTCCCACAACTTCCCAAGCCTCTTCCCCAGAGACCGCAAGAGCAAGACCTCTAAGTGAACCTCTCAGCTTTTGACAGTCAGCCTCTCCTATATCTTCCTCTTTTACCTCTCTATTCTCCTTTATCCAGCCTTCGCTCCCCAGAGGTGGAAGCACATGAGCAGCAGGCTACGTCTACCTCACTCACCCTCTTCTTCTGAATATCTATGGTCCTTAACAGGACTGCACTACATATTTGAGAGAACTGGAACCTCAACAGGGTTTGTACTAGAGGTCAACCGATATGGGTTCTCTTATTGCCGATACCAATGCCAATATATATGGAGACATGGCGGCCAATATGTACTGCCGATTATTATGGGCCGATACCTAGACATTTTCTAACAATCTCTTCATGCTAATTTGACCAGCTGTTAAATCTTAACTTTGTGCACTGCTCAGTGTTAATGTTGGATACCTAAATAAAGTGAGGATTTTTTTATTATGCAGATGTTATTAATGAACGTAAAATTTAAATAGCTTTCTGCAACATCACCAGGCTGCTCGAGGATGTGCCTGACTTAAAATCGGCTCTACTAAAGGCAAATATTGGCCAGTGTCGATATATAAAAAACAGTAAATATCGGCCCGATATATGAGCCAACTGATATTTCACTCTACAGTTTGTACAGCATCAGAGAAACAAAGTTTGACTTGTTTGAAAAAAAGAGAAAAAAGTGCAACTTTTAAAAAAGAAAACAGCAAACTAACCTGAAACAGCATTCACATTGTTGCAATTAAAAATGAGGATTTGTGTCTGTGCCTTTTCATCCTTTAAATAAATGGAAAAAGGTAAACAAACAAACAAATAAGGATTATCTCAGGCAGAATGTCATTCAGCTGCTGGTGGAGACAAATGAAACATCACTTAAACTGAAGTCGTTGTCATTTTGCACAGATAATGTTTAACGCTTAAGCATGTATGATAGGAGGTATGTGATGTTAGCAACCTAGATGATTTCTTTTTTTCTTTTTATTAGAGGGCCCCGCATATCGGTTTTTATCTGTACCGGAAATTAAGAGGTAGGCAATATCAGATATGGGTAAAAAAAAGTCAATATCTGGCATCCCTCATCATAAACTAATGCAGGAAATATGGATAGACTATGTTCATGTTTAGCCTGCATTACAAACACAGTTATAATCAGGAATAATAGTTTAAAAAAAGTTTTTTTTTCAGTGAAGTTGACCTTTAACAATGTCTTTATCAAAACATTCATATAAATCTGCAACTACTTATCCTAAAGGTCTAAACCACATTCAAGACAGCTGCCAAAGCTATCCAACCATAGCCAACCAAAAAGCTTTAACCCAGTTAATTTTACAGAGATGAGGCTAAAATTCCTTCCTAACAGACACTGTCAATCTCAAATGAGATCATGTATTATGTTATTTTCAAATGGATATAACTCATCCTTTCTCAAGATAAGATAATATTAGTTTTACACTCTGCCCTGAAAGGCAGTGGATAATACGGACTCCCTCAACGATCACTAAGCCCTTGATTATTCTCTAAATGAATCCCTAAAATGAGAACTTGAACACAAGCAATAGCTTTAAAAAGCAAAGAAACATTTATATAATCTAGTTAGTACAATAGCACGTTGCTATGTGTTCTCGTGGTACCTCTTTGAACCCAACTGATTTTCCATGACAGTTTAAGAGCTGTTGTAGATGCTATCTGCCCCTGCACGCTCACAAACGTGCTCAGATATAGTCTTCCGTACACAGCAGGGAGTGTCTCAATAGTTTTAATGTGCATGTCTCGCATTCTGCAGCCTAACGACAGGAAAATGCAGCTCACTTCAGGCAAACACTCACGCATGAACTAGAAGCCTTCCCACTTGGAGCTGCACTGCTCAGACTGAAAGAGACCATCTGAAGGTCAGATCAAAAGGAAGTCAGCTCATACATTCTGGTCTTCTAGCAGCTACTACCAACTGAAAATACACAACTTCCAAACTGTGTGGTGGATGAGGTTTTATTTGGATTTTTCTCATGCATATCAGCATTCCTGTTCTCAGCTTCTTTTATTCTCCAGATAAAATCAGTTAATCTATTCTTGATTTATTTTTTCACAGTGCGGCGTGGAAGTCTCCAGAAACAACAGGATTCCAGGGGTGTTAAGAATCGCTGTGGTGATTTTCCACTAAACCCATCCTCACCAAAACAAGTTATACTGTACAGAAAATTCTGAGTAAAAACACTGCGTACATAATCATTAGATTATTATTGCTACATTTGGAATAACATTTTGAAATGACAATTTTGCATCAATGTTTTGCCTTTATCTGCATAAAATCATTTACAATAATTGAAATGTCATATTTTCATGTTTATTTTTCATTCTAATCATTTGCATTAAAACCCTTTCCCCTTATTTTGTGTTTGCTGAGTCTAATAAAAATATTTATATTTTGTTATATCTTTGATTAAACAATGTGTAAGTGAGATATATTTAAGGTATACGTTTTCTAAATAATGTAATAAAATTGAACTGAGGAGAAACTGACTTATTGAAGTCAAAGTAATTTGTAAAAAAAAAAGGTATCAAGGTCACTGGTGACCTGTAGCTCCACCAAAAGTTTTTAAACATATATGAATAATATTTTACACTAATGGTGCAACAAATCAATCACGGTTTGAATCGGATCACAGTTTTGGAAGAAAGAAAAAAAAAGAAAAAGAAA